AAAAAAAAAAAAAAAAGTTCCGAAATTTGTCGGTAGCTTTTCTTGTATGATATTCCTGGGATTTATTTAAACAAATTTTTCGAAAAATAATGTATTAGCTAGGCTACCATCCGGGCCGCCCGGGTCCCGGGTGGCCAGCCCGTGCAAGAACCGAAAGGTCCCAGCAACATCGAAATTCTTCACCAAATTTAAAATAAAAATAGAAAAAAAATATTTTATTATTTTTATTTTTTTTTTTTTGGCCCGGCCGGGCAAGTGACCCCGGGCCACTTTGGTAACCTAGTGTATTATTAGACTATAATAGCCGTGCGTATCCGTCTAGATACGCACGGCTATTTATTCATTAAAAAAAATCGAAAAGTACTGCATTGGATTAGATTTATTCATACAAATACGCGCGGTCATTTTGCTGTAGTTTTGGGCACTATTACGTCTAGATACAGCGATAATGACCATCGCAAGATTAGATTCTCTCTCTTTATCCTTATAAATATTTTTAGTTCTCAGAAATGAAAATAAAAATGACAATATCATCAAATAGTGTTTGTTTCAAATTACATATATCTTATTGAATTTTTGATTTTTTTGAAAATTTGTGAATTTGTCCAAATCAACGGTTAAACGGATGTCCGCACCGCGATCCGCTTAACGGTCCTTAACGGAATATTGGCATTGGGCGTGCGTGGGAGCAGCAAGAGAACTTCCACAGCAGCAAGCCTGAGGTGACACGTCAGCATGATCTCGTCGAGTTGAGAAACGCAGCATCCACGTGGCATCGGTGCATTCACCTTCTGACGGACTCTTTTTTTTTTTTTTTTTTTTTTTCAATCTCCGCAGGAGCCAGGCTAATCAATCTTCTCCGTATCGTTCCAATTTTAGCGGACGTCTTTTCCGAAGGCCACATTTTTTATGATTGTTCTTCTGATCGCATTCCTTTTTTTTTTTTTTTTTTTTTTAAAGCCAACTGACCGCACTTCGTAAGCATGCTCAGGAAGGAGTAGGAAAAGAAGAAGAAGAAGGTAAGCAATGGCCAAATTGCTCTTCACACGCAAAAGAATAGCTTCGTTTCAACCGTGCGTGTACACTGCTCAGATCGCGCACGCTTTCCCCTACATGTTTCAACCGGGTGCGCCCCGGTCTCATCAGGAGGCTTGCCACACGCCCTTCGCCTCTCGGCCCACCGTTCTCTACCACCCAGAGCTAGTGAGGGCCGATGCGGCCTTGCCCTCATCTTATAGTGTAAGCCTTCCCTTGCACGATCACTACCTGATTCTATGCTAGTCTCTGATTGGCTCATCCTTCCTCAGGAACGAATAGCATACCCAAAAAAAAAACAAAAAAAAAAAGGAGTCTGAAAAATTGTCACTCGCTAGCTAGCCGGTGTGACGTGTCAGGCATCCAATCAATATTTACCTCGTATCGAAAACACACAAACGCCGCCGTCTTCCCCCGAGGAAAAAGTACGGTCATTATCGCTGTACCTAGACCAAAAATTGGTCCAAATGCAGCTATAACGAGAGTACGTTCTATTCGGGGAAGACGGTAGCCACTTGTCGCGCTCACCTATCAGCCGAATATGGCTTCACTGATCAGAGAGCCAAACGGCATTAGAGTTCGGACTGAGGTCTGTATTTCAACAGGAGTTCAACGGACTACCAAATTCGCTTTTGGCTGACGACAACTAAAATAATAACAACAGGAGTTCAAAGGACCACCAAATTCGCTCTTGGCTTTTATATCCGACTCCAATCTCCACAAAACTGACGACAACTAAAATAATAATTAAAAAAAATAAAAAGGAAAAAAAGGAAACAAAGTGACAACTACTTGTCTGTCTCGTCTTGTAGCGCATCTCTCCGCCTCTCCTCGACCTCCCCTGCGCCTCTGCGTCCGCTCCTCCTCGGCCGACCACCTACCCATCCCAGTCCTCCATGTCCGCCTCGTGCACAAATACATCGAAATCTCAAAACTTCTGCTGTCCCCCTCTCCCCCCCCCATATAGTCATATAATATCCCCTCCTTATAGAACATACAGTAGTATAACCCCAATTCATAGTCATAAACACCCCCTTATTCTGGTAAAGACCCCTCTCTCCTCCCTGTACTTGTCGCTAACCCCTTCGGCAACACACCCCTTTTTGAGTCCGAATGCACTTCGTCTAATCCTTTTCTCTTGTTTGCCGTCCTCTCTCTCGTTCGCTCGACTCGACCCCGTGATCACACCCACTATGTAGACCAGGAAAGACCAAGAGCCAGCTCGCCCTATCTAGGCTACGTACATCGCATGAATCTGGCCGGAAAACGGGTTACGTTCTCGTTCATAATGCTCTATGTAGGCCATGTACATCGGATGAATACGGCCGTAAAACGGTTTTGGTTCCCGCTCAACTTTCGCCCAAGCATTCCACCAGCGGCGCTTGCCTCTTCCCGCCAAATTAGCCCACTAGATTTCCCGCCAAATTAGCCCCCGAGATTTCCCCCCAAAGCAGCCCCCGAGACTTCCCGCCAAATTAGCCCACTAGATTTCCCGCCAAATTTAGTCCACGAGATCTTCCTCCTGTCAATCAATAGCACTGTAATTTCAAATTACTCACGATCAAGCCTGGAACAGAGGGAGCGAGGAAGGGAGGAAGGGAGGGAGGGAGGGAGAGACGAGACGAGCCGAGACGAGGCGAGACGAGACGAGGCGAGACGAGACGTGCTTACCAACGTGATGACCGACCACGTGTCGCCTTTCCGGCAGCAGGTTGTGGAGGCAGCTATGGAGATTATGGAAGTGCGCACTCGAGCTTGAATGTCAAGTCAGGCGGATGGGCAGCAGCCTGGCTTGCAACCGTAGGCGTAGTCCCGCACTGAGTTGAATCAGCCTTTCTAGCGCCACGTCAGCATCGTGAGTGAAGAGCGCGCCGCGCCACTCTCCTCCTCTTCCTCTCGCGGACAGATTACAGCGCCAAGTGCTCCAATATTGGGCACCCACAATATCCAACCACCAATTCCCACTGTTCACTGCCCAATTCCCTGCACCCAGCCCGGAACATCTGTGGACGTTGAACTTGGCCTGGAACCGATGGGAATACCCGCTATACCCAGTCCCAGGACCATCTTGTATCTGTATCTATATACCCGGAGGGCGTTGAACTTGGCATGGTACCCAGCTTTTCCCCTGTGCGAAATTGTAGGTGTACCCAATACCGCAGGCCCTGGATTCAGAACACGAAATTATGCTCATGCCCACCAAGTACACCGTTGTGGCCCAACGGCTGCTGGGTATGAGCATAATTTTAGCAATCCGGGTAGCAGGGTATATGAACAATTGGGCCTCTCCTCCTCCCGTCCCGGGTATGGCCTTAATTTTGCCTGGGTATGTCCATAATTTGTGCATTCCAGTAGTTCGTTATAACTGCAAATTTGCAGGTCCACCTCGGTCCTGGGCATGCAAACAATTTCCACCAGGCGTTTTCTGGGTATAGACGCACGTTGGTGCTGGGACTGGGTATAGCCGGTATTCCCATCTTTTAAGTGGGGTACAGATGCAATTTCCTTCGGTTTTTTGCGGGGTTGAAGGGAAAGTACGCCAAATTCGTGAACCCAAATTCCCACCCGGGGCCTCGTCCCACCTGGTAGAAAACCACACTTTGTGACCGTGTTCGCAGCCCGTCAGGGTTGCGTTTTCCCCCCCGGAAGACATTTTTCGTCGTCGTCATTATACCGGTCGTTCATTCCGGCTGGTTGGTCGTTGGAAGGCTCCAAAAATGCAGGCACGTGCAGGCAGGTCACTTTAGGGGCTAGTGGCAGCTAGT